CATTAGCTCATTGTGACTGAGCACACAGATAACGTATCTCCAAGAGGAGAAAATTTCAGTTATAAAAAACCTTCTATTTCCTGAGTGGCAAATTATAGGAAAAAAAATAAAATTAAAGCAATTGCTTTATGTTCAGTTGAAGCTGCTATTTAGTTTTCTACAATACCTTTTATTCAGAAAGACAGAGCTTTTACTTTCATACTAATGATATATCAGTGCTGTTCACCAAGTTAGCTCTGACTGCTTTACAATAGAAAAGCTAAAGCACAGAAGAGGCAAGAAGATTTATTAGGGAGCATATAGGTCAGTGAGAGCTTCAAGGATACAACTCAGGTTCTCAGCCTGTAGCCCACTGTCCTACTTACCCCCACGCACCACCTCTTCAAGTTAATAATAGCTAATACCATGGATTTACAGACTAATTCTCACAGACACTTCTGTAAAATAAGCAGGTATCAACCCCATTTTACAGAGAAGAAAACACAAAGTGCTGAAGTCTTCACTCCACATACCTTGTATAATCCCATTACTACTACACTGATACCCAATATAAATTTGGATAAAGATACACAGCATTTTTAGCACACAACTCTGTATTCTGAACTACAGAAATTAGGAGACTTGTCTAAAGGCAGAGATTAAGTCTGTATCATAATGGGACGGAAATGGATGAGTGCTTAGTTCAAACTCATATGCTTAACCCAACTCTATCTGCATAACCTCAATTCCTTAAAATTACATGGAACATTAGATCATGATACAGGATCAAGCAAAACAGCATCAGAAGATTTCCCAACCTTTTCATTCCCAGCTTTCTAACATGGAATTTTATGAAACTACTTTCAAAACCAATTTTTGACAATCTATTCCTTTGCATTGACATATTTAATTCTCTTTTTGTGCTCAGACTACTCAAGAGTACAGCAGAGGAGATAACTCTGACATTTATTATTACGGGTTCTGAATACTGCTCTTAGTTACTATTTTAATTTTCTGAAATATCTTTAAAGTTTATAGCAAAGTGGAAACAGCAATGACTCACAAAAGACTTAGATACAAAAATCTATGTAACATCATGAAACAACTGAAGAACTGTATTTCTACCTGAAAATTTATAATCACACCTGTATTTTTTCTGTGCAGGTGGCAAAAAAAGAGAGGTTAAGGTTTATTTATTTAAAATATAAACCCTACTAACCTTGAGTAACTGAAATTTCAAGTACCTAGGTTCTTGACCACACTGATAAGATACTCAAATTCCTAATTAGTGCGGCTGTCTGACTCCCCAGTGCTATAATAGTTCTTACAGTCATAAACTATAATGACAACGGCTACATGACATCAGTCTTAGCACTGTAACAAAATCATGTAAGCCTCCTAAGTATTGACTTCATGTCTGTAAAAATGAGAGGATTCAAGTATCATGTGTTTAGTAGTTATACATATTTTAAATAAGTATGCCACCCAAACAGCAAGAGATTTTCATGAACAGAACTAAAAACCACTAGCAAGATCAAACAGTTCAGCAGTTCACAGTTACCAAAAGAGCATCAGAGATATACCCATGAATTTTTATGCACAATGCAGGAATAGTTTGTAAGTAATCACTAAGCCCAGTAACTTGAGCAACATGGTTCAGGCAGACCCAGACTGTAGCATCATCCAGGCTGGTTTTAGTTCTGCAGCCACAGGGTTCAGTATGAGCAAGCAAGGCATGCTCTGCTCCTCAGGAAGGGTACTACAAAGGGCTGCTCCCTCCACCTGAACTCCCAGTCACTCTGAACTGAACATCAGACACTGCCATGGGACTGATTTGGAAAAAAACAACAGATCGATCAGAAAAGTTCCAAGTTTACCCATTCACCTTACACTATCTCTGCTTTCATTATGGCCTGCAGTTTTGAGCAATACTGTTCCCACTACAAACTGTGGGCTCCTTACAACTGAAACAGTGTGAGCGTGCACTCCATACCTTAGCGCCCTGGGTAGCTTACAGGTACCTGGGCTCCACAATTTCTTCCCTATGTATATTTACCAGTCTTCCTTGCTGCATTTGCTCTCAGGAGTGTTCAGCTGCTCAAACACCCTTCCTACATCACGTGCATGCAAAGCCATGGCAGTTTAGCCACACAACCTGCAGGTTCTGAAAACTGCACATTTTACTGTACTTCTTCCTTTTCAAACAAGGTTCAACTCCCATCTAATAAATGTCAATATAAGGACTACATTCATTCATATGCTTAATTTGTCTTTGGCAACATGAAGAACTTGCTTCTCTACAGTTTTCAAGCAAAATTTTCACCCCCAGCTACTGTTACCACAGAGATTTCTGCCATCTTTACTAAAACTAGTTATTTTCCCATTGGACAAACAGGCTCCACAGCAAGTTACAGACCTGGTAACACTCACTTCTGAAAGTTGTCATTTTACATATGCTGTTACTGATGTTGTAACCAAGTGTTACCACATATCTTTATTAATCTCTTGTTCAGACTTATGGTCTGACCCAATATTCTGGTTTGGTCAATATTCAGAATATTTCTAAAATCAGTGGTAGAGCCGCACAGCAATACCCACCTAAAAAGCATTCAAAGTGCACTATACAGCACAGAGACCATAATATTTCCAACTAAAATTATACTATTTGTGAGATTTATAATGCTATGCTCAGCATAGCATAACTTAAAATTTGGCTTCTATCAAGCACAAGCAAAGCTTTAGGAGTTGCAAGGGCATGGCATTTTTTAAAATCTAAACATTACTTTTTAACATGTTTATAAAATTAAATTTGCAATGAGCACAAATACATAAAGGTATATATAATACTGTACAATTTTTTCTAAATGCTTCAAATTAATTCTATTTTAAGAAACACAAACTATATTGTTATGTAATAACCAGACTCTTGTTCTAGTCCAAAACTTGTTCTTTGAACACCATGTGCTTTTAACAGATTTCTTCCCTTTTTTCTTGTGATTTTTTTAATACAAGAGATTCTAGTCTTCACAAATGCTCACATTACTCATGCACAGAATTGTACAAATTGCCCCTTAGAAACAATGCACTAACACATCACACTGAAATTCTACAGGTTTCTGGATGCATTGGGAAATTAAACTCACCTAACTGCTTCAGGCCAGCTATAATACAAGCATATCTGACAAAAAACTTAACATGAAATGCTTCATCAGTACAGATTACTGGAAGGATATTATACTTTAAAACCAAATTTGAGACTTACTAATGATCATTTAAATACTCTCTCATGCACTCAGGTCTGAGCTTATACTGTTCCCACTCAAAACATTATTTAAGCCTATGCAGTTCTGAGGAACATCTAATGCAGACTGGGAGTGGTGCGCAATGATTTGGATTTTATATTTTTTTTAAATGAGTATGGAAAAACCTGGAAGCAATAACTCAGAATAGTATTACCTCCTATTTTCCCAGACTAGTTACTTTCCACCATTAATAATCCTGCCCCATTTAAACTTCAAAATACGCAAAGTAATTAAGCTATGTTGTGCTTGCCAACTTAAGAGAGGCACTTGGGAGTAATATGCACACTAATTAGGAACATTAACTGCCATACTATGTGAATTCTAGTTCATTACTCAATCTTTTTTTTCCCCAGTTTCAGGAGAAAACCACACACACCGCCAACAGAGATTCATCTCTGAGAATACTCTGAGCTATAATACCCATTTGTTTTAGGGATGAAATGATTCCTTCCATAACCAGTAGGTGTTAAATAGCTTCTTGCTATCAGGAAACAAAGATGTAAGACATTATAATTTCAACTGCCTAGCAACAACTCTAACATTATGTTTTGATAAGTGGTTAGAGCCTTTTCTAGTACAAGGACTGTCTGAGATGAGAATCGGCTCTACCTTTCTTGATGGCTAGCTCTGCTTTTTTTACCAGCTCTGCTTTTATTTTTACCAGCGGAAATAAGGTTTTCTTTCCTTATAAGTAAATTCCTCACTTCTACTCATAAGTTAAATGATGCATACAATATATTTTGAATTTTTACCCACTGGAGGCTCTAATTTGGTAAGGTACGAAGTGAATAAAGGCGACACACAAACTTTTAGTGTGCCATGGCCTATAGCAATACAGCAAACATGGGTTGAAATGTACAAGGCTTACACTGTGGGAATCTTTCCTGACCTGAGATCACCAGATTTCTTGACTTAACCCTCTCTTACTCTATAGATTTTACTACTGAAAGCTCTGGGGCATGAAAAGAAGCAGAAAAGCACTGTGTAGACCTTAAAATACACACGTGAAGTCATTCAGTTCATTGTCATCCCATATTGAATACTTACAATGAATGCAGTGAGATTCCAAGTTCTGTCTCTCAGACTTCATTATCAAGATTTATTTAATCTATCAGCAAGAAGCAATCACTCAAGATTATCTCTTATGTTTCCTCTTTAAAATACCTTTACTCAACTTCATGGTATTTTAGAAAGAAGATACTTATTTCAGAAAAAGAATCTCAAGTAATTCCATTTAATTATCAAAAAGGTACCATAAGTTTAAATAAATGAATGCTATTTATCATGCAGTGTAGTTTTAAACTGCCTTTCAATTTTGAAAGTTAATAACCCAGCAATTTATCAGAAAAGTTGGTGTTTTAATTTAGATAGTAAACTATGGCATAGTCCAGTAAACCTTGATTTCTCAAAATGCATATGCTGTTTTATCACAGAATTTGTTAATACATCAAAATCTTATTTAGAGATTCATCACATCCGTGTATCTTACGTCTACGTATATGCATAACAACACATGCTCATACACATGCTCCTTTCCCCTGTAGAATCAGTACTGCTTACACATGTACAATTTCAAAGAATTAGATCAACACAGCTTAATCACAAATAAGTTTCAAAACACATGTGGCACATTAAAACCTCATTCTCCTCTCTAAGTACTCAGCTGTACTCAACAATGTACAGCCATCATACTTTTTACAAAGAAAAAATTAAAGTCACCTTTCAAAAGCTGATTCAGGTCCATGGCATCATGCAAGACTTTCTGATTACATCTGCGATCAAACTCGGAATCTACTGAAAAAAACAGAGGTATAAGATTGGATTTCCCCACCACAAAGGCTTAAAAATTTTGTGTTGTACTTAAATTCTGCAAAATTACCATGTAATTCTTGATTCACATTTTCCTGTCTTTTTACTTTAAGTTTCTTATCATTTGATGCTGCAAGTTCAAAGGACTGGATGGGACTGATGTCTGGAGTTGACAGAGGTGTTACATCAGTTACTGTGTCTTCAGACTCCTCCAAGTAGTCAACAGGCTTTGGTTTTCCTTCTAGTAATTTCATTGCTGAGTCAGATTTTTGTTTTGGAGACAGAAGAGCATTTCTACAAGGATTCCTCTTTGAGGAAGAATGAGATGAATCCGATAAACAGCTATCAGAATCTGTATCAGAACCATCTGTATCTGAGCTTGAGGATGAGGATGAAGAAGAAGATGATGAAGAGGAGGAAGAGGAGGAAGAGGAGGAGAAGCTGATATTAGTGTATTTTTTGCTAACCTTTTTCATGTTGTTTGACTGCTTAGCTGACTTTGGTCTAACCTTCTGGTTTTTCTCATCATCACTACTATCTTCTTCATCTGTAAAATAATCTTCTTCACCTTCTTTAACTATCTTGGGGATTCCAGCAGGAACATTCTCTAGTATTTCACTACTTGATGCGGATGTCATTCCAGAAGCACCTGCATTCTCTGCAACTAGAGAAAGTGACAAAGATGAAGCTTCTTCAAGACAACCTGTGTTATTTTCCAGGGACTGATCCTTCTGAAAATCTTTCTGCTTTTCTTCACTTTCCTCCTCATAACACCCTGTATCCTTTGAAATAGAAACCAAGTTGGAGTCTGTAAGAGCTGTCATCATACTTTCTTTCTCTACGCATTCACCGTTTTCTTCAGCTTTTTTTTTCTCTTCCTCAAAATCACTGTCAAAGAAAGCATGATCCACTTCATCTGACAGATCTTCAAACCGGTCCATGCTGAATCAGGAAGTGTTACCTGCAACCATCAAAAAAGGTTTTCAAAGGTTAGCATAAAACCAGATCCAAATACACTGTCAGGGTAATATTTTTGTTCTTCACTCTTTCAGCTCTAGTAATATATAATTCTGCAGTTAATTATTTACATATTATTTACATATAATTCCCTACCACATGTAACCTAAACCAGAAGAGAGCAAAGCAGAATTTTTTGGCATCACCTGTAGAATACAGGAATTATTTATTTAGCAAGTACAAGTGAGGCAAAGTCCATTCTATGAAGAAAATAAATACAGCAAGTACAGCGTTAAAACAAACCCTTTTCTTCTCCATGATGAAAGGCTTTTATTACTCAAGACACTAACATCTCATCAGTTCATAGCTTCAGACAGATCATGACAGATTGGTAAAAGCGGGCATGTGCTATGTTTCACTTGTCACAAGCATTTCATATAGTTAGCATTGTTGCACGTGTAAGAGCATAAGGGGATAAGACAAAAACCAGGTTTGCATGTGGATGCAGACCAACTTGAAATATAGCTTGAAATATAAAGTTGAGTGTAATAAACTAAAAATACATGGATGCATGCATGTAATGTGACTACTGCAAAGGAGTCTAACAGTATCTCGTTGGCTATAATATGTGTTCATATCACAGCTTCTCAGATATCTCTCTTCTGGGCACAATCTCTTAAGTGAGGATAGGATTTAACTCGAGACAATGGAAAAGAGCAGCGCAGAGATGGCAAAAGATGATTATAGATAGCCTGTACATTTCTTTCTACCATTAGCACCACCCAAGGAGCACACATTTTCCTACTCCGCATAACTCAGGAATAGCTTACCTGCCAGTGGGCTGTTTTCCATAAAGACTGAGCCGTAACTGATTCACGGACACCAACCACTGTTATAGGAGAACTGAAGTTTAGCAGTGTGACCGACCAAGGAGCAGCAGTTGTAACACCAGTCATCTCATTGCCAAATGCTCCTTCCACTTTTCTGGCACAACCACCTAATTTTGCTTGTCAATCTTGCCCAAATTAATACATTGGCTGCGCATGCACATATACACCCTCACCCCACCCTTATATACAGGGCACAGTGTAATTTTATTCCTGGGAGAAGCACACAATTCTGCTACATTATGAATTTTAAAATACAGAATCAACAAGTGATATTCTGAAATCCCAAGAAAACTGTCAAATACTTATCATTGACTGCTAATTCCAATGACTACTGTATTGATTTATAAAAAGTGTATGCTTTTTGTGGCTTTAGCCATGAAACTCTCTAACACAAATATGATCAACTCAAATAAACAGGCTGGCCATTAATTATCCACCAGTTCTTTTATTACTGTAGTATTTCTTCCCATGTAATTCTCTGCCTCTCACCCCTTATTTCTTGTAACACCCACCCATAGCCCCAGCCAAGCACACCTATTCATCTTCATCTTTTCCTCGGTGCAGTTCCTCCTAGTTCATACCACTTTTTAATCCCTTCACCTTTAAACACCAAGTTTGACCTATTTAAGATCAAAAATCAAGGAGAACATGCAGTCTGGATGTCTGGCATTTGGAATATTTGGGGAGGTAATGCCTAACAGCAGGCCTTCAAGCACTGCTGCAATATAAAGTATCTCAAAAGTAAGACATTACATAAAAAGTGATATAGTGAGGATGCAGATTTAAGTGTGGTTTGAACAAAAACTGCCTTTTCATACGATTTTTTGAATGTTAGAAACTAACACAAAATACATAAGGTTCAAGGTGTTCTAACCTTGGTTAAACCTTAACATTATCCAATCAACCTTTCACTTTTTTAAATGCAGACCATTTGAAATACATGCACCAGAATACTGAGATAAATCACAGAAAAACTAAAAAAAAAAAAAAAAAAAGTGAAAAACAAGCCCCTTATGCCTGCTATGGGCTGAAATTTCTGATGTTACTGTGTGCACACTGTGCATCTCCACAAAGACCATAATACAGCACAGCTATAACACACACAAGATGAGTCAACAATGTTTCCCGCAACAAAAAGGAACAGGCAATCTCACGGTGTATTAACAAACGTATGTGAAGTATCAAAAGCAGTAATTATGTTCTATTCAGCTCCAAAAGGGCACCTTCTGGTTTAGGGTTATTAATTAATTGCTTTGTAGGTATAACTGATCCTGGAAGAAGTAAGCACACAGGCAATCTTCTCCCAGCCCACACAATATGCTCTCACAGATGGCACCTCTCCTTTCAACTGGAAATTTCTACCTCTTCAGACCAGGGACCCACTCTGCTGAACTCAGAAAGCAAAAACAGGTGTTCAAGAGCTGAGGGGCTGGAAGGTTAAAGTCTTTTGATTAAAATATTGATATTATTGGTGGTACATGATCTTTAGGCCACTCCAAAATCCTCCAACTCTACTTACTCCTTATTGCCCCTCTGTCCTGCCTCCTTAATTCTGCTGACTTTCAAATCACCTCTTTGTACAGTGAACTCGGGAAAGAGTACCTGTATCATCTGACTAACATTTTCAAAAACATCAATCATTAAACAAATTACTGTGTAAAACCACACTAGTTAAAACCCCACCCACCTCTTTTTTCTTCCTCCCTTCCTCAATTTTTGGCTGAGGCTTAAAAAGAACAAAACCAAACCAACCAACCAAACAAGCAAAAAAAAACCCAAAAACACAAAAAACAAACACCACCAACAACAGAAAAAAAAACCAAACATGTGACAATAGACAATGATAAAAATTTTAAGACAGTTAGAAAAGTCCAGCTTCTGAGGGTTTGTTTAGTTTAAGAAGGGAAACACGAGGAAACCTAAGTCTTCAAACCTGTAAAACAGACTAACCCAAAACTTAAGTGTTCTCAGATACAATCAACTAGTGGTAAAGATCAACTAGTGCATCTGCTTCCAAACATGTGACAAACCACACATGCCCAGCCCTACCTACCTCCTCTTTAATTGCAATTTTCATTTTTGCTAGAAAGAAACAACAAAGCATGCGAAGGAGGAAATAGACCTCTCAGGAAACTACTTTCCTTGAGGGAAACCACAATGAATGAAACAACCAGCCTGTTTAGTAGATAGTCTGGTTTTCCAAGCTCAGAGCACAACATCTGCCATAGCTGTTCTGTATACCATATGGTCTCCAAACTTGGCTACCAGTTTCCACAATCCAAACCATGTATTCATAACCAGTATACAAAACACAAGGCCTCAACCCCAGCTCAGAACAAACTCCAACACTACAAATCTACCCAAGCTCTGCTCCTCCACATTTACACATCCTGCACCAGACCTGTTCTTACACCCCAAGGTGAAAGGCTGGTTGAGGCACAGGCAAGTTATTCTGCAAAACACCACAAAGCAGACAGAGGCTGGAATTAGAATCACAGAAAAATACAGCTTTGAAGGGATTCTCTTGACATGATCTAGTCCAGTCCACTGCTCAAAGCAGGGTCAGCTTAAAAGTTTTGTTTGGTCTTGTTCAGCAAAGTCTGCAAAAATTCCAAGGATGAGCACTTCGTGTCCTATGTGGGCATCTGCTCCAGTGCTTACCAACCCTCACTGTGATTTTTTTCTTCTTTAATCAGAATTTCCCATGTCATAACTTGCAACTCTTAGCTTCTAACCTTCCATGGTGCACCTCCAAGAAAAATCCGATTCTGTCCAGTGACAGGTAACCATGTTGCTGCTGCTGCTAACTGCCTGAACATAATAACATGGGGTAAATCCCTTTGCTCAGATTACAACCTCCATATAAGTATTTACTGCTGATTTATGCCAAACTTCTTGCTGTTGGCTGAGACAGCAGACTTGCACCTGAACTGAATAATCTGAAACAGTCGTGGAACCAACATCTGCCTTTCACAGACCAGATCAGACAGTACCCAATTCAAGCTCATATCAGAACTACCATTGTTTCTAGTGCACCTGAAACCACTTACCCACCCGATTCTTAGCTGGCTCCCTATGATTTCACCAATTTTTGTCTCTCATAGCTAGAGAAGAGGAAAGAGGTAAGACCTGCTACTACAGATCTGTGGGGTCAGTATATCCAGCCATTGCTGCCCCTTTTCCTCTGTAGTGTTGTCTTTTGTTTGCTCCTCCCCACCTCCCCATTTTGTTTATTTGTTTGTTTTTTCCCTGGTTCTCTCTGCTGGACACAAAGGAAAACATTTTTCTCTGTGTATTGCAAGATACAGCAGCCGAACAGCAGTTCTGTCTTCAAATAGAGGTAGGTTCACTGGAGACAATCCAAAGTACTTTGGAGTCCTTTTAAAAGGATTCCAACAGAAAGCCCTGAATCTCCTGGCTATTTCAAGCAAGGATTCAGCTCAAAAAATGGGCACAAAAAAGTCCTGGAGAAGAGTCAACTGCCATCATCTGTTAGAACAAATGAAAGCACATAACCACCAGAGAGCCCTAGATGACTTCAGGGCAAAGGCTTTCAAGTAAATGTACAAGGGAGAGAGGGAGGAAGGAAAAAGAAAGGAAAAAAAAAAAGTGGTTCTTATTGAGCCAAAAAAAAGTGCCACCTGCCCTACTACGAAAAACTGCAATACACACATTAACCGTTTGTTCTTCAGTAAAGGTCACCTTGTGACCTCATGACCAGAAAGGCTGGGTCAGAGACTACTGAGGTTAAATAGTGGGTATGATGATGCCCATCAGGCCTGTCTTAACAGGCTACAGCTACTCACTCACAGCTGAGAAACCCAAGCAAATGAGTAGCAAGCCCTCCAAACCCAGAGGGAACAGAAGCAGATGACAAAACAAAAAAATACAGACAATGGATCATATGTTGTTTGATGAAAGTATCAGGAGCTTCTGGAAGGATTTCCTTCATAAGGACCTCCATCTCTACAACCATAAGTAAAACCACTCACATCAAAGTCTCATTGGCCTACTGCAATATACTGTTTCTAACTGTCTGAAAGAGTCCTATCTCTAGGCACCTCAACAAGCACTAAGATGCTTGGGAGAAAACAGTCACTGGCATTGACCCTTCCCAAAAGTGACACACAGCCACAGTCTTTTGATAACACTGACAAATGATGAACAGTTCCTGGCAGCAAAATTATTTGTATGCAGGTATGAAAAGTCTGGGAAAGGACAGACTCTAATGCCAGGTATTACAGGCAAAGACAAGGTAAAAGGAAGCTGAGTTTTCTTGCTCCTGCTGTACTGGTGCATTATCTGTGAGTATTTCTGCCCAATATCAAGATTTAAATATCGGGCAACATACATCCAAAGAGGCTATCCACAGCTGAAGGGGGTGAATCTGGAACAGTAGTCCGCAATAGTATGGAAGGAAAAGGAAAACAATTCCTCTTATTAAAGCAAAACTTCAGCATATCTGCCATGTAAAGGATGGTGGTGTGTGTGTGTGTGTCATCACCCTGGTGTAAAAGTTGGAGCATTACCTGTGTGTGCATTCTTTAAGATCTGCTGGGGTTAATCCAAGCAGCTGCTGCAGACTGCTGGGAGTCAGGTATTGCCATCTTCCAAATGACAACGGATACACCACTTCCCCTACTTCAGCTAAGTAATGCTTCCATATTGATCAACTGTCTCGAAAGTACAGCCCAAGGGTGGCCCAGAAAGCAAAGGTCTCCACAAACATCTTCAAGCTTTCAAACTATTATTGCACACTCCTCATTTGAAATTATATGCTGACATAAAACCTCCCTTTCATTACAGTTCAAAAGTAAAGAGAAACAATTCTTTCACCAGTGTTTCTACAGTAACTTCCCCACTATTCTCACCTTGTAACAGACCAGTTGTGCCCAGTCTGTACTTCTGCCTCATCCACTGCACACAGTAGAGGTATGGCTTAAATTGTTTAGAACCTACAGATGCCCATCTACCACTGTTGGGAAGGCAGG